AAGAAAGAAAGAAAGAAAGAAAGAAAGAAAGAAAATATAAATCACTTCTAAAAACTAAAAAAAAAAAAAAATGGAGACTGCAATGAAACAGGGGCAACAGCTGACCACTGCAGCCCAAAACAAAAATTCCTCCTTCTTCTGGCATATGATGGCAGGCCAGCTTATATCACATTTCCAGTCAGGTCCCTCGAGGGGTCTGGGAAGCCCATTTCAGAACTTCATGTGATTCTCAGTCAGAGGAAATCCCAGCCTCACATTCAAGTAATGACAACCTTCCAGACTGGCCACTTGTCTCTGAAGCTGATGTGGGGGGAAAAAAAACTTAAACTAGAAAAGGCTCCCCAGTATTGTCATATCCCATCTGAAGCCCTGAAATAAATAATAATATTTATTAAATGTAAGGTGATTTAATAAATAATAAATAATAAATCTCAAGCTGGCTGGTGGGCTCCAGTTTTGGCCTCCCGTTTCACATATATTGAGCAATCTAGAAACATACTACCTGGGTAGTAGCCATAATTGCTCCAATCTTTACGAAAGATGACAGGAGTAATCCTGCCAATTACTGCCCCACAAGCCTGCTGAGTATTATCAGCAAGCATTATGCCCACCACTTGGACTGGAAACTCCAAGAATGGCTGGTGAATGAAGCTACTCAACATTACATCACATCCTTGTCCTACAACTTCTAATTTAACAATATACAATTGGGTGTAATGGATTAGCTGGTAACATCTATGTTACTATTTTGGTATATAATTAAGGGTTTATTATTTCTGGTGATTTTTAAGTTTTTTGGAGTTTAATTTTCATTCTTTTTTTTTGTAATGTTTAATTGTTAATTGGATTGTGATTTTGATTATTAAGATAGGGATCAGGGGGATTATGTTTAAATGAAAAGGGGGACTAAAATGCTTATGTTGCTAGTTATGTCTGTTAATCTTTACATATTTTGTTAATTTATTAGGGAGAGCTAAGGATTTAGAGATTGGTTCCCAGAAAATGGGGTGAAGTATGGAATGGATATGTATTTCATAGGAATGTTGTTAATGTTGTATATACGTGCTGGAAATGAAGGGGGGTGTTACTACTTCTTACTATTTCTTTGTATTTTTTTCTTCTTTTTCGTATATATTTTTAATCTATTTTGTATTTGATTATTGTATTAGTATTATCTGTTTTATATAATCTTCAATAACATTATTAAAAAAAAGAAACTTCTGATACAGATATTAATTTTTCAATGGTCAAAAAAGGTGAATCTCCAATTCCTTATTCCATGCAGCCTTTAAAATTTACATATCAAATGTATTTATAAATAACAATTATTTGGAAAAAAATAATGCGGGGCCTATCTCATAAGATTTAGTAATGATGATGATGATGTTGATTACTGATTTATGTGTCTCTGTAGCTAAACATAACACTGGTGCAAATGTCAAGTAATATTGTAGTTACAATTTTGTTCCAAAATTAAAATCACAGCATCTATATAGTTTCCCATATAGCAAGTCTTTTTATCAATGCTAAGGTCTACATGACTCCATGGTATAATTTCGGCATGAGAAAAAGAATCAAATTAAAATTTTCAAAAATGACATACCACAATTTTCAAATAGATTTAATTGTGTCAGGAGACTAATTTATTCTCTTACATTTTAAATCCCAAATGCTGCAATTAATGCTATGTATGAACATTTCAAATGAGCCAGGTAAGGAGAATTTATACCAAGTGAAGCCATTCAATATCATACAATCTGGTATTCGTCAAAAGGTAGGTAACACGAAGAATGACACATTTCTAGATCAGGGATGCCAAAGGCCCTATCTTTAACAGCTACACCTTTTTCCATTTCTGAACTGAAGAACCCATAGAATTGAGTATATTGGGTTTTTGAAAACTTTTTCCAGAAAATTCCCCACACAGCCCAAATTTGATCCTTAAATATCAATCATAACAATATCTATATCACAGGGTTTAAACGCCTCTTTGTATCAGTTATAATGTGTTGAACCTGTAAACCAAGATGTATGTCTTGGTGACTTCTCCTCTGGGTTACTGAAATACATAGTATATGGTGTTACCCTTGAAAACTATTCAGATGTTTGAGCTGGCCCCAAATGAGGCGGCACAAGTATTTATGGATATGCCACGAGAACGCCCTATAAGAGCTTTGCTGCATGAACTGTAGAGGTGATCCGTAGGCTTCTGGATGCAATCAAGGTGCTGGTTGTCAAATATAAAATCCTTCATGGCACACTGCTCAAATAGCAAGGGAACAACGTTTTGCTGTGGTGCCTGCTTGTCCTGCCATATATGACAGAATAATTATGTTTTCGATCCCATCTATCAAACTGTGCCATCTAATGGGGCCCAGTAGCCGTGTCTTCTCTGACTTGGCTGTTTCCTCAGATTCTGGGGCAAGGGATGGTTTGGGATTGCTATGAATTGGTTTTGTTTTTATTTGATTGTTTCCCTGTTTGGTCATCTTTTCTTTCTCATGATTCTGTTACTTTGACTTTTTATATTTTTAATAAGTATGGAACCCAGAGTTATTTTGTGAGAGAGATAGATGATAGATATAGATAGTTCAACATGTTACATCACCTACAAGCATAATATATTTCCATTCTATTTTCCTGATCAATCTTCCTATCATGATTGCCACCTCTCCGAAAGATGGCTGGGAACATCTCCTACCCAGAAAAATCTTTCCCAATCTCCAATTTTCAAGATAATACACAGCAAATATGTTTGAAATGGTCTCACAAGTATTTTAGGGATTACTTATACCACAAAGAACTCAGAATATATCTGCACATCATCCTGTTGTTATTTAAAGAAGAATCCAAAGCATCTCATTTTCTAAGGACAACTGGACAACGTCCTGCATGAATAGCAGCAACATTCTTCTGAGTATTAATTAACAGTAGTTATGCTGAAGTTGAACCTCCCACCACATAAAACCAAGATAATTTGTAGAAGAATTTGATAACGTACCTTACTTAATATAAAAATAAAACTTTATAAAGTCGAAACAGCTTAGATTTTCATTGCTGAAATACTGATAAGTTCAGATTTACTGCTCATCTATTTTTCATTATAGAATATGCAAATCAGTCATCTCTCCCCCCCCCTTCCTACCCCCCTCCTATTATAATAATGATTTAAGGAGTTTTGTTTGTTGCTGCTGCTGCTCTCATTTTTAATTCTACTCCATAGCACCTTTTTTATACTATCAATGGAGATAGTTTTCTTTAAAAACAAGCACACACAAAAAAAAAACTTTGGGGAATAGCAAGAAAAATTAGATAAACTCTCATGGAAATGCAGCACAGCATAAAATGTTACTGATGGCTTTAGAAAGACAATAAGAAAAAAAAAGAAATCTGCATGAATAAACATGGATAAAGATGGTGAGTCATTCACTTATTTTTATTTTGAATTATCTATTATTTCTACATTTCTTCCTTTAAATAGTCATAAGCCTTGACTGCCCTTTCCTTTATAATTCCAACAAATAAACATTATAAGTGTTAGCTGCCTATAGAGGCATGATTCTTCAGGCACTTTAACTTAAGGAGAGAGATGAAAATAAACAGCATTAGAACTTAATACATCTTAACTAAATCTAGCAACAACAACAAAAAAGCAATTCCTTTCCCCACAATTCCCACCCCCACATTCAGTTACTATACAGACATTCTTCACTTATTCAGTTTAAAGGCTGAGATTTGGTTGCGTATAAGGCTTTACCATGGCTTCCTGTAATCTTATTTCAAGTTCTTTTCCTTTAATCACTTTAAATATGCCCTCATTTTCACTTTCAATTTATCCTTAAAACCTAGGGCTGTATCAACCATTTAAATCCGACTCTTTGAAAACATTTTCATTCACTTTCTAAACAAGGTGACCACATAGAGTTCTTAATTCAAATTAAGTTGTCAAATAGAAATAAAAGCTCTGATTTGAAGCCATTCTTCATAATCCTCATTTTGTGTAGAACAAGATAGAGATGAGAAGGTCATTCAAAGGAGATTGACTATATATATATATATATATTCAAATACAGCAGTTCATTGCAGCCATTTAACAAGAAACTTTAAAATGGTGGCTTAAAAAGTAATGAAACAAAAACAACAATCTCCATCCACACTTGCCAAAATAATTACATATGGCTAATTCCAGCACAAATAAGATGTTTCTCTAACAATTAAAGGAAGGAGTTTAGCAGAGATCGAAATTCTGAGTTTGGCTAAATTTACAAAACTCAAATACACAATTCTAGAGCTATTCCTGTAAAACAAAATCAAAGCCTGTTCTATGAATATAAAAAAAATTGTGCATTATGATACATTGAACTCATTTCAACAAATAATGGTACCATATTATACCTGCCTGAACTGTTCCAATTAAAGATGAAGAAACTGATTGAAAAAAAGGGAAAGAAAAAGAGAAGGAGGGAGACAGCAACCTCAAACATGTCCCATTGACAAGGTTAAATGCACTTGGATTCAAAACCAACCCCAGCAGCTTTTATCTGACTTGATCAAAAAGATCTGTTTCTTTTTAATCTCCCAGTTCTGAGAAAATTAGTGTAAGAAAATATTATTAAACAAACAAGCAAACTTAAATACTCTAAGCCCAAGACTATAAAATAATGCCGTAAGACCTGACAGTGGTTAAACATCTGCAAGATCCATCACCCTGAACTTTAAGCAAACAAAATTACAGAATGCTATTCCTCAGAATGTTTTAATGAAATAATTAATATATTCTTCACTAAATGTTAATCCAGTACTCTCCAAATCATTCGAAATAGAATTGAATAGGAACATTTTTTTTCTTTTTCTTCTAGGTGTATAATTATTATCAATGGAAAATGACACATCTGAGTTTCTTCTCTTGGAATTCTCAAAAATTTGGGAGCTACAGATTATGCACATAGTTTTACTGCTGATACTGTATTTAATGACGGTAACAGGGAACCTTCTCATCA